CACATGCGTGCAAATAAAATCCTTAAGAGGAAGATGAGGAGGAGGAGGAAGACAACGACAAATACTTGGCCCTGAATGCATCAACTAGTTTTCTGGCAACATTTTTAGACAAAGAGATTTGCTGTTAATAGACTCTTTATACCTTTAGAATTCAAAGTGCGGGGGACAAGTGTTACAGGCCCCGACTTCCCACAAGATTCCTCGGAACTTCTGTGGTGTAAGTACTTTAACTGTATAACCACCCGGATGTAGTCAGGACACATATTTTAGCCTTCCCACAAGTATGAAAACTGAGGTCGTGTGGTCTCCTCATTGCCCTCCATTGAAGATCTCTTTGTCTAGGCAAATTGGGCTTTGAATTCTGTGAACCCCAGCTGATAGTGGAGAGACTGGTGGGAAAACTGTCACGCACACCGGCAAGGGTACAGGTCCATCTGTCAATCAGGGAAGGGAGGAGGTGACTCCTAAGGGCTAAGATGCCAGCCTCCAGGACTCCAACTAGCATCTGGGTTCACGGCTTGTGCCACTGAGTGCTCTGCAGATGTGCAGAGTGACGCTTGTACCCAGCAACCTTTTCATTCCTGGAGTTGGTACCAGGAGGCCAAGGGTCTGTAGCATCCTTTTGTTGTGCAGTTTGAGGCCGAGAGGGTAGGAGAGGGAGAGGTAGGAACTCTTGAACCTCTTTTGGAAATGAGTCAGAGAGAAGGTGCCTGAAGTCTGAAGTATCTGAAGTGCGTTCATTGTGGGGGGTGAAAGGAGATAGGTTAGATACCTAGGAGGAGGTAGGTGGGCGGACATCTCAAGGGACAGGGTGACAGGTGGAAGCTGCCGTCCGCTGCACCTAATCAATCGTTGCACAATGACACCACCTCCACCGTCCACCCTTTGTTGACACTAAAGAGTTGGTAGTCAGGGTTACTGTGGGACGCAGGTTTTTGTTGCCGAGCGGGCCTTTCTGGATAACAGGCCCATACTGATTAGCTGTATCTTTGGAATGTGAGATGTGGGTTTAGAGGCCTCTTCCGGTGAGGGTGACTTCTGCAGTTGGCCTGAGATTGTGCCTGACCCTGGGTCCTGAAGGGTCCTGAGTGATTTGTTTCTAAAGGGCTTTGCCTACCAAAGAAGTAGAAACAGGAACTTACAATTTCCAGTATTAGCTTGGATTTGTCCTTAACCCGTTGGTTTCTCTACTGTATAGGAATCCACCTGTGTCTGCATCAAATGAAGGACTAGTTTTTTTTTGTTTGTTTTTGTTTTTTTTTAACTTTCTGTGTTAGGGATGAACTCAGGGCACACCATATGCTAGGCAGTCATTCTTCCTCTGAGCTGTATCTCAGTTAGGTGTGGCCAAATTATTTGCAATCTCCCATCTTGAATTAATATCCCCCAAACCTGGGAATCAAGTCCTAGTGTTCCTAACAGCTCCATTTACTTGGGCAAAGGACTTAAGTTCTTTTTTATTTTAACCTTTTTTTCCCCAAGACAGGGTTTCCTCTGTGTAACAGCCCTGGCTGTCCTGGAATTTATTTTGTAGACCACGTTAGTCTCGAACTCACAGAGATCCACTTTCCTCTGCCTCCCGAGTGCTAGAATAAAAGGCATGCACCATCGTGGCCTGGCTTTGTACTTAAATTCCTGGACCCTCAGTTTCTGCATTTCTTAGCAGAAACTAGTACTATTCCTTAGAAGCAGAGAGGGAGGAATAAAGTAAGTATTATAGTTATAAATGCATTTTTACTTGTATAGAGTCCACAGAGTATTCAGTAAATATGCTTTTCATTTCTAATCCTTTTCCTAAATTCAGCAAAGAAAGAAAGGAAAAAAAGAGAAATATTTACTTTGCTTTTGATTTGAAATTATTATTATTATTTTTTTATTAAACCTTTGGAGGCAGTTAATAGTAGTGCATGCCTATTCTGCTGGCCAAGAATTCGGGGGTTTTGCCAGCCAGGACTGACTCACTGGAGAGGGGCCCTGCCGGGTTCAGGAGGAGGCAGGGCTGAACCAACACTTTAGGGCATGTTCCGGAGGCCGACTTCCTGGACAGTATAGACGGTCTCCTGCAGCACCAGAGGACAGAGATGGCTGCCCCACACGTGGTGCCCAGTCATGTGTCGCTTGGCAGATGTTCTGCCGTCAATTATCTATTCTTTAGGGCCCTAGGAAATTGTTTTAAATTCTGCCACCACAGGGCTAGTGAGATGCTCGCTGGGGAAAGCAAGCCTGTCTGCCAGCCTGAGTTCAGTCCCCACAACTCACAGAAAGGTAGACGAGAGAGCAGACTCCGTGGAGTTGCCCTCTGACTTCTGCATGTGCGCTGTGACCCACACAGTCATGCCCCCCCACACACACATGTGATGTTAGTTAGTAAATAAGAGAAAACATTTAGCCGGGCTGTGGTGGCGCACACTTTTAATCCCAGCACTCGGGAGCAGAGGCAAGCGGATCTCTGTAAGTTCAAGGCCAGCCTGGTCTACAGAGTGAGTTCTAGGATAGGCTCCAAAATTACAGAGAAACCCTGTCTCGAAAAACAAAAACCAAAACCCACCATTTTAAATATTTTTTTTAAAAAAATCCACTATAAACTCGAGAAGGGTCAAGGACTACAAGATCCATGGCCTCTGCAAGCCTTTAACTGTGCCTGACTGGGTGCGGGGCCCCGGTCTCCCACTTTCCCCTCACTCTTCCACTCAAGGCTGTCAGACCGCAGCCTTGGAGGTCGCCAGACGTCACCATCCAGCCTCAGAGGTCGCCAGATCCGCTTCACAGTGTCCAGCTCTGTCTTCTCCCTAACCAGCCGTGAAGCCTGTGCTCTCTGGGAGGGAGGCTGGTAGATCCGGAGGTGCCTGGGATGCTTAACAGAGGCACAAAGAAAGACCTGGAGGGCTGGGTGTGGATCTCTGGGGTAGAGCGCTGTGAATGGCCTCGGATTCCATCCCCGATGGGGAAAAGGAAAAAGGGGAAAAAGTCTTGTGGCATCTTCTTGCATGTGTCCAGGGAGATTTATCAGGGCTGCCATATTCCTTGTGACCTATTGGCCTCCTGTTTCTTTTTCTTTTTTCTTTCTTTTCTTATACATAGCCCTGACTGTTCTGGAACTCACTGTGTAGACCAGGCTGGCCTTGAACTCGCAGAGATCCGCCTCCTGAGTACTGGGATTGAAGGTGTGTGACGTCACCACCCCAGGTGCCTTCTGTTTCTTGACTTGTTCCCCAGCTCTTTACCTCTCTGTTCCTCCCCAGACGCATTGGTTAGTCCCAGAATGAAGCCTTGTGTTTGGGCGTCATCAGATTCCTGTCCTTGAAATGATTGCACAATACTTAAACTGGAGGCAGGATCGGCTTTTTGTTTTGTTTTTTAAATTCGCCCCGGTCAGCAGCCATCTACAAATAGCATGCGGCAAGTGTGGCTGGGATTGAGGTGTGTGAGTGTGTGGGGTGGGGGTGGGGGTCTACACTGGTCCATCTCCTTTCTTTTTTTTTTATTTATTTTTTTAATATTTATTTATTTATTTATTTATTTATTATGTATACAATATTCCGTCTGTGTATATGTCTGCAGGCCTGAAGAGGGCATCAGACCTCATTACAGATGGTTGTGAGCCACCATGTGGTTGCTGGGAATTGAACTCAGGACCTTTGGGAGAGCAGGCAACGCTCTTAACCACTGAGCTATCTCTCCAGCCCCCGGTCCATCTCCTTTCACACTGGGGCCTTCCCAGGGGCCTAGACACCTTTGGGATCCTGAGCTGGAACTGAAGCCTGGGCCTGGGTGGTTCTGAACTGCAGCTGCACCCTCGGCCTTGGTTGGGTCTTAGCCGTTGGATGGCACAGCTGGCAACCTTTGGCCATGTAGCCACAGATCCAGTTCCCAAGCTTGCGGTGGGCAGTGAAAGCAAGCCTGCCTACCTTGTGGCTGGGACTCTTTGGCATCTTCTGCTTAACCTCAGGCTTCAGAAGGGCCTTTATCGCCTCAGCACGCGCTCGCCTTGCCTTGGTATTGTTTGCCTGCATCTGAAGGGATTCGTATCTTTGTGACTGGGGTTTCTTTGGGGGCGGGTGTCAAGACAGGGCTTCTCTGTGTGTCCCTGGCTGTCTTGGACTTTCGAGGTAGACGGGCCTTGAACTCAGAGATCTGCCCGCCTCGGTCTCAAGTGCTAGGAATGCCCCCCCCACATCCAGCTTTGTTTATGAGTGGGGTTTCTTGATGCTGTTCCCGTGCCAACTGGGGTACTGCTTGCGTGTGGCACGGTTCTTGGACTTGGCCGTGTCTACAACAGCCCACACGGCTAATAATATGCTTGGGACTGAAACTGCAATGTGTTTTTCAAGCCCTTGCTCCCAGTATGGTTCTTGGGGGACTTTCATGACCTCTTTTACTTCTTATGAGTGAGTGAGGTTTTTTTTTTTTCATCTTGAAGGACTTCCTGACAACAGTCCCAGCCATGTTGGCCATTTAGTCTGTACTTAAAACGTAGCTGCAGAAATGAAGGGTAGAACCCAGCTTCCCATCACTGTGACAGAATGTCTGAGGTCATCAAGATAAGATGAGAAAAGGTTTTGTGGGTGTCAGTCTGTGGGTGGCCTCTACTTTTGAGCACACCTCATGGCGGAATGAAGATGGCGTCTTTGGAGCATGCGCGGGACTATCCATTCACGCATGGCCAGGAACAGAAAGGATGAGGAAGGGTGGGAGAGTAGGTTTCTGTAATCCTCTTCAAGGGTGTACCCCCAACTGGTTTAAAACCTCCCATGAGGAGGGTCCATCTCTTAAAGGGCTCCTCACCTCCCAAAGTGCCCCATTAGGTGACAAGCCATATTATGAAGCCTTTTACCTCTGTTTCGGTGTTGGGATAGGCTCAATTTTTGCACCTTCAAAAGCACTCAGTTATTTCAAGCATCCTTCTGGACAGGTTGACCCCATTGTAGACACAATGCCGTTTCTTCTTTTCCTTGCCCCCTGCCCCCAGCTTCTATGATAGATATTGTTTCTTTCCCCAGAGGCAGCTCGAGGAGGCAGATCGAGCTCAAGTATCCATGGAGGCCTGGAGGCTTGTCACCAACCTCTAAGCGCAGAACTGGGATGTGGAGCTGGAGGTGCCTCCTCTTCTGGGCTGTGCTGGTCACAGCCACACTCTGCACGGCCAGGCCAGCCCCGACCTTGCCCGAACAAGGTAAGACAGCAGGCTGAGGGTCAGCCAGACCCCTGAACTGAGGAGCCAGCGTGTGTGGGGAGAGGGGCTGCTGGGAAGGCTTCCTGGGAGGAGCAAAGGGCTCCTTTCCAGTTAGTGATATCCACTGGCTGGAGGTGAGGTACTTGGGATGAGTTTTTGCTTTTTTTCTGGAGAAACAATGTGATTGGGTGTTTAAGTCAGGCGACCACAAAAAAGGGGTGGGTGTGACTTAGGAAAGAATGCCATGAATACAAATTTAGAGGAGACATTCAAGAACAAGAAGAACTTGATAGTTGGCCTCTGGCCTCCAGAAAGCTGATCCAGAGACGTGTCTTCTATAGGATGAGCAGTCACAAACACATGCCCTTTTGGACTTTGCCTTCCAGTTCTCATTTGGGAGTTTGATGGACAGTTTGCTTTGGAGGTGGCCTGTTTGAGGGACTTGGGGGAGACTGAGAACCTGGAGGCATGATGGGGTACAGGAGCATTATAAGGCCCTCTGACATTGTGGTGTGTTGTTAATAAGTCCCCAGAGGTTGTTCCTGCTCCTAAGATAGCTGATGGCTTCTGAGGGACTCGGAGGATAAGTGTTTGGGTTAGCCTTGCTGTCAAAAGGCAGTGTGGCTTGAGAGTTCGTGGCTGGCTGCAGAGAAGGCAGGCGTGTAGCAGGTTAAAGGCTCGGGCATGCACGTGACAGTGGTGGCTGTGTTTACAGGACTGTCGTTCTAAGTTGTCAGGGACCTGTTTGATGACCAGTGGGTGAACCTATGTGTGCAGACGGCAGTGAGGGGGGGTAGGGAAGAGGGAGACTTCCTAGTTGGTGCAGGGGCGGAAATGAGAATGTTCTGTGTCGCAGTCAGTAGCAGAACCAAAGCCATCCTAATGAGCTGAGACTTGCCGGACACTCAAGGCAAGAGAGCACCTCACAACCTCTAGGGAGATTGTCATCAGGCAGTGGAGAGGCAATGAATATAAAGTGCACTATATTTATCTATTGAAGATTTTATTCATTTTTATTTTATGTACTTGAGTGTTTTGCCTGCACGTGTGTGTGTGTGCTGCATGTGTCCTTGGTGCCCGCAGAGACCAGAAGAGGATTCGTGGGTCTTAGGAACCGGAGTAAAGAATGATTGTGAGGCCACCATGTGGGTGCTGGGAAACCACTTCCCTCTACAAGAACAGCAAGGGCTCGTACCTGCTGAGCCGTCTCTGCAGCCCCTGATGGACCCCCAGTTAAGCTACACAGTGGAGCCTTAAGAGAATGTGGGACTGTCATGCACAAAACTGAAGTCCAGATAGAAAGTTGGGGTCCTTCCGCCCAGTGTGACACATGCCTTTAATCCCAGTACTTGGAGACAGATCTCTGTGAGTCTGAGGCCAATTTGGCTGGTAGAGCCAGTCGGTGCTACTTGGATTCTGTCTCAAAAGAAAGGAGAAAATAGGGGTCTTTTATCTTTTTGTTTTTGACATAGGATCTTGCTGTGTAACCCTGACTGGTCTTGTGACCCTCCTGCCACTGCCTTCTGTGTGCTGGGGTTACAGGTGTTTACCCTGTGATCTTACCTTAGGGTACCAAGATGCAGGTCTCCAACGGGGTTAATAAAGGTCATTCAAGGTGGAGCGGAAGGAGCGAGCCATGAGGTCAGGAGGCTTAAGAAGTACAGACAGCGAGCGAGCTGTATTGCTCACTGAGTAAATAGCTGTGGAAAGTAACACCTGGACGAACTGGATTCAGCCGGCATTTGGAAGGCCTACATCTTGCTAAAGAACTTAGTATATTTAAGTGGGTTCTTGCTGAGAAATTGGAAGTTTACGGATGTGGTCCAGTTTTCAGAAAACTGGCTTGCATTGTGTGACAAGTTATTAAAATCGAGGCAACAATAATAAAGGATTAAATGTCTGTCATAATTCAGGCAAAACACTTCCATGTCAAGTGTGAGGAGCTATTATTGCATCTGCCACTGTTGTCACGAAGACAAGATAGAAGGTGGTGTTGAATGTCAGTCAGAGGGAATGAGACTGGGAACCAGAGATAGTAATGGCATTCTAGAAATAGAAGCCATGGGCTTAAGTGGTTGGATGCCAGCTCCTCTTCCTCCCCCTCCTTCCCTTCTCTCTGTTCTTCTCCTTTTCATATTCCTTTTCAGCCTCTACTTCTTTCTCCCCCTTTTTCTAATAAACTCTTTGCAGCCCAAGAAAGGAAAGCAGGTAGTTCAGATCTTGTCTCAGGCACTTGCAGGCAGGCAGGCAGGCAGGCAGTTAGTTTTCTGGAAGGCCCTCACATAAGGACTTTTGTCTACCCAACATAGGAAAGGAAGCAGAGGCAATGCCATAACGGAGGTTGAAGCTAGGGGACAGAAGATCGTTGTTTGCCTGGTCGGTTTTTGTTTTTTTTCTTTTTTTATATTTGTTTATTTTATATATATATCTGCATGACAGAAGAGGGCACCAGATCTCACAACAGATGTTCGTGAGCCACCATGTGGTTGCTGGAAATTGAACTCAAGACCTGACCTCTGGAACAGCAGTCAGTGCTCTTAACTACTGATCCATCTCTCCGGCCTGCTTTTTGTATTTTTTTTCTAAGATGGGGTTTCTCTATGTTGCCCTGGCTGTTCTGGAACTCACTCTGCGTAGACCAGGCCGGCCTCAAGAGATTTCACCTGCCTCCTGGGATTAAAGGCATGCACCAGTACCACCTGACACAGAAATGGTTCTCAGACTAGAAGGAGTAGGAAAGGTGGGGGAGGGCTACCAGGCTGTACCATAGTCAAGGCTGAAGTCAGTCAATTGAAATATAGTTTATGTAGTATACAGTGTGCCAGTTTTAGACAGGTAGCTAGCTCTGTGTTTCGGTAAGTGCTAAGGGGTCAGTTTGTCATTCCAAAAGCTCTTCCCTTGCTCCTTGCAGATGCGGACCTGCTTCCTATCATCACACGTTAGTTTTGTTTGTTCTGGGATTTCGTGTAATGAATGAAACTTTATGGCGACTGTGAAGCTATCCACCTGCGATGCCAACAGGGGTCATTGTATTCTTTCGATTCTTTTCTTATTTTCTTGGTGACAGTCTCACTGTATAGCTACGGTGCCCTGGAACTTTCTACATAGAGCAGGCTGGACAGGAACTCACAGAGATCCACCTGCCCCAGCCTCCAAATGCTGGGATTAAAGGCTTATGCTACCACACCCCGCTCCTGGGGGGCGTGGGGAGGGAGAACATGGGAGCCGCCGTAACTGTGATTTCATAGGAATGATCTCTCTGTGTGCTGTGTAAACTCTTGGAACCTCAGAGACCTGCAGCATATGTAGACTTGGCACGCTGATTATTAAGTAATGCTGCTATTGTCTTCAAAAACAATTGCAGTCCATGTGAAAAAAGATTGGTTCAGAAGTTGAAAACAAACCATCCCAAACCTTGCTCACACTGAGAGCTTTGGAAAGGCTTGGGGGGTGGGTCCACGGCGGGGTGGGGGTGCAGGCGGGAGGAGATGGCAGCCCCTCCCTTGACCGAATGCAATCCTGGCAGTCTCTGCAAACGCCCCTGGGGGACCTGGGAGGCCTGCAGTTTCTGGCTGTCCTTACAAAGTTGATTTAATAAGGCTTCCAGGAAAGCCAGTCCCCCCTCTCCCTCTCCTTCCTTCTCCTGTTTGCCATATTACCGAGTCTAAGTTTGTTTCAGACCGGGCCTTGAGGTCTATGGTTAAAATAAAACTGGGGGACTGGCCCAGGGGCAGGAGACCCCTCTTTCAAAAGATAAGAACCAGTTTAGGAGACCTGAACTTGAGGAAGGCTGTTTCCATGTATTTTTCTCGGAGAACAGGACTTGAGGAACCAGTAAGTGGCCACGTCCAAAATTTTGCAAGGCCACTTGTGGTGGTTGGGAGTGGCGGCCTTTCCTTCCCTTTTTCCTGGGCACCCTAGATGGAGCAGAGACTGTGAAACTTCTCGTCTTGAAACACTGTCCTGCCTCCACAGAAACCTGCAACTCATAAGCGCTTTAATGGCTGAGGTTTTTCAGCTCCTCCCACCCACTCAGATTTGAGGGAGTCTGGTGGTTGGTGGAAAGGAGGAGAGGTTACGTTTTAATGGAAAATCTTCACGTCTCTGTTGCTGGCTGCAGGCCGCCTGTGTACCACAAAGCGGGGCTTTGTCCTTGTTCTGCAGAAACCTGGGCCTATGGGGAGAGGCAGAGGCTGCCCGAATCTGGCCCTGGCTCCAGTCCTAGTTCCCTGGTAGCCCTCCCACCGCCCACCCCGCCAGGGGTCTTGAGCTACCTTTGGTCCCAGAGGGTGCACATTTCAGCCGAGCTGCCTGGGAGCCGAGCGAGATACCACTAATAGCCTTGCTGGAGTCCCTCTGCTTTAGCCTGTTGGTGTGACCCGAGTGACCCAAGGGACAGTGTCACATAGCTGGCCCGGAAAGCATGTGGGGGGGATCCACACACACCCACTCCTCACCCACAGTAAACTTGCTCGGGAAGAGACCCTGTTTGTTTCTAACTCACACTGCATGGTAGAGGATCCCAGAGGGCGAGGGGAATTACATGAAGCAAAAGGTGCTGAGTGACACCACACACACACACCACCCGCTCAGTCGAGGGTGGAAGGTTTAGGTCCGTGAAATCCGAGGTGTGTCCTGAGCTGTGATGTTTCCCTGGAGGGCCTACCTTGCCAGTACCCCTCTGGAAGGTACTTGCTGATGGAGGCGGGTGGGCAGCAGAAGGGCAGTGCTCGGCCTGTGAGAGAATGTGAGAGCTCTCACGTGTCCTGCTCTGCAGCAAGGCCAGGGCAGCGGAGCCGCTCAAGGCTGTGTTCTTGGCTCCGGCTTCTGCATTGCTGCGCCATTAGCCTCACTGATTTTCCACTCTGGCTTTGCCAGCCGCTCCCCAAAGTCAGGGAGGAGGAATTTCTCAGGGAAGAAAGAACAAATGGTTGTCCAGAGGACTTGCTGTGGGTGGGGGCGGGGAGGGAGCCCGGATAAAGAATCAAGCCGGGGGTTCT